CAGTCTTTCTCTGTCACCCAGGCTGGAGTACAATGGTATGATCTCAGCTCACTGCAACCTCTGCCTCTGGGCTCAAGTGATTCTCCAGCCAGGATTACAGGCACGGTGCCACCACGCCCAGCTAATTTTTGCATTTTTAATAGAGGCAGGGTTTTTACCATGTTGGCCAAGCTGGTCTTGAAATCCTGACTTCAAATGATCCTCCTGCCTCAGCCTCCCAAAGTGCTGGGATTATAGACATGAGCTACTGCCCTCGGCCCAGGAGGCTGGTCTTGATGAAAAATATCAACTCCCCTCCTTATAAACCTCTGGGCACTTACCTCCCACCTCCAATTGAGTGGTCATGAACACTGAGACTTCTAGAGAGCTCTCAATTTGTCCTCTCCTCCTCCCTAGTCCGGTTGTCACTATCCGTATTGGACCCACCATTCTTCTCGAGACATCTGTGAAAGCTTCCCTGAGTCTAACCTGTCCCCAGGCAAGTCCATCCTCATAGTGCCCACCCCAATCATGTCAAGGCTCTGCTCAAACACCTCCCCAGCCCCTGCGGCTGTGCATGGAATCACGTGACAGCTCCATCACCTACACATTTCTCGCAACCCACCTTGGAGAAATCCCAGGCGACTGAGGGTGGGTCTGGGAAGCTGGTGTGCATGTGGTTCTGACACTCAGCAGTCTGAGGAAGGTCTGACCTTCTCAATGAGGTGCCCAGAGAAGGGCTCCCCTTGACCCTGGGGAGGCTGGAGCTCTCTGTCCAGTGGTGTCGAGTGTGGCCAGGAGCCATCCTATCTCAGAGTCATGGGCCACATGGCTGACAAGTGCTGGCCCAGTCCCTGATCGCCATATTTCTTTCTTTCCTTCCCTCCCTCCCTCCCTCCCTCCCTCCCTTCCTTCCTTCCTTCCTTCCTTCCTCCTTCCTTCCTTTCCCATATTTTCTCACTCTCTCTTTCTTTCTTTTTGAGGTGGAGTCACTTTGTCGCCCAGGCTGGAATGCAATGGCACAATCTCAGCTCACTGCAGCCTCCACCTCCCAGATTCAGGCAATTCTTCTGCTTCAGCTTTCCAACTAGCTGGGATTACAGATGTGTGCCACCATATCCAGCTAATTTTTGTATTTTTCATGGAGATGGGGTTTCACCATGTTGGCCAGGCTGGGGGTCATCATATTGTCTTCTTGGCTTCCACCTCCAGCCATGTCAGCAGCCCTGCTCCTTCACACATCCTGTATGCTCACAGCTCCACGCGTCTCCAGCCTCCAAACACGCCTCACCCTCCATGCCTTGGAGTCTTCCTCTTGCTGTTCCCACGATCACAAAGCCCTCCCTTCCTTGATTACAAGGTGAGTCCCCATTCATCTCAGAACATCTGTCACAAATGGCAGCTCCTTTATGGCCCTCTCCCAAATCCCAGCGACATGCCCTCCATTTGTCATTCACAAAAACGTTTATTGAGGGCTATTATATACCAGGCACTGTAATTACAAAGATATCACACCTACTCTGCCTTTGAGTCTGGGTGAGGAGGCAGACCTATAAACATAACGAGTCGCAAACATTTTTATTGTCATTCTTTTCATCTTTTCTCCAATTATAAAGATAATGCACACTCATTGTAAAACATGACGAAAATATAAAATAAATCCTTCAGACAAAACTATTACTGATACTTTGGCATATAATTATCCAGGTTGAATTTCATATTTACAAAATTAGGTTTCCAGCATATTGTCTTGCTTCATTTATTCTGGACACCTGTCCACACAGACACGCAGCTGCATCTCATCTTTTGACAGCTACAGAGTGTGCATACGTGTGGGTATATTACCATGGACTCACTTCCCTGATAATGGAAGTTTTGGTTATTTCTAATTTTTCTCTATTACCAGCAATACTGTATGAAGATCCTTGTCCATACATCTGTGTGTATTTGCATGGGTGTG